TAAAATGTGAGTGTCTTCTCTCAGTACGATCAGTTTGTGAGTGAAAGAGTTCTAGAGGTAGAGAATGTTCTCTGGCCTCTGTGTTATCATGGAACCGGAACACGGAACCTTCTCTGCATGGAGCATTCTATCCTTCTGAAGAAAGATGGATGGATAGATGCATTCTCTATGGAGAATTTTGAGAAAAAAACACACATTCAAAGCTTGTATAACATTAAAGGTGTATTCAAAGTGCAAATCGTAGTTCAGCATTCACCTTCTTTCATCATTTATCATAATTTCCTCTTGAAACTGCAGAACAATCCATATTTCAATCTGAAATTGAATTGTAGTTTAGCTCTATGTACAACTGTCAAGTCAGCAAAATTATCTAAAGACACCACAAGTCCACCGGATACCAGATTTAAACAGATGGTAAAAGTACTCAGATCCTGTTCTTGAGTAAAAGTAGAAGAAGATAAATGAACATCCGTCTGAGGAAATGTGAGTCGTCTTATCTGCTAAAATGCTTTAGTTCCTGTTGTTGAGCAAAGGGGACTTTAGTGAAGAGGGATAAAGCTTGTTTGAGTTAGCCTTCAGACAAGGTTTGAAGACTAAAGCTTGCGAACAAACTTTTGTACAACATTTTAAGAATATTTTGGGAGCCATTAAGCTTCCTGAGTAGGTGAAAACCTTTAAACAAAGACTGGTTATATATTAATTAAAGTGGCAGTGTACATAAGAACATACGTTTCTAAAACAGCTAACCTTTTCTAAAGTCTTTCATGTTTCAGTTACAAGCTTACATCAACGTGGAAAGGTGTTGTATTTGAGAATTTTTACACAGTGCACATCTTTTTCTCATGCATATGCATATTACATATCAAATATTTAGTATCTTTGAGGCCCACACACAAGTGTTTCCAGGCCTGTGTGGCTTGATTGACATCTCCCTCAGCCTTCTGTTGATCGTGCTGTACCTGCGAGGGCGGGACAACTTACCGTGTTAATGCTGTCATTGGTGTTTGGAGTTCTGACACTTTACAGGACTTCCAGCATTTCTCTAATCAACTTCCAGCTGAGGTCTAATCAGCCAAACTGAAAACACCTGCAGAGCCTTTAATTGGCAAAGTAACTGGTGATTGTCAGATACATGAGTCAAAAGTACAATATTGTTCTCTGACATGTAGTGGAATAGAGGTGTAATGTCAAGTATTAGAGTACCTCAAATATAATACTTCAGTTAATGGACTTGTTGCTTATCACTGTTGTGCTTTTGACCCCTTATAACAAAGCAAGCAAGCTTTCAATTCTTCAATGAACGAGTTGTCTTGTTTTATTTGAATCATTTTAGAGGCATGACAGGGTAAATATATACAGTGTTCAACAAGGATAAACCTTTAAAGGGATTGTTTTTTGCTTTTTTATTATTATTATTATTATTATTATTATTATTTCATACTAGAATATGTATCTTGTGACAACCAGGAGTTCTTGTCCTACAAATTGGATTATACACATATTAAACTTGAATCTAATATTTTAGATACGAGTTATTCTATGCTAGTTTATAATATAACTTTGTCACATGCGTTGAACAGATAGCCTAATTACTTTTCAAAAGAACATTTGACATACAAAATGTGAATGATCAGTAATAAATTATGCATTGTTATAGAATCCCAAAATATATGACGTAATAAAAATATGTGTCAATGCAACCGACCACAATATTAATGTAACACTGATGTGAATGCAGCACAGATAATATAATAGTGAAAGGAACCATTCTGCATACTTTTTGTGCTTTCATTCCAGTCAAATTCAGAATTGTGGGCTTTTGGTTGTAATGGAGTACTCTTAATGTGTGGTATTCAAAATATCTTCCATCGCTGGTTTAAGTCATTTTATTGTTTTATTGTCTTTTCTTGTATCTTAATTAATTGTATTTATATTTGTGCAAAATGTAAATTAATTAGAAAACAAGAAGGTTTCTACAGGACACTGCTGTCACCTGGTGGTCAAAACTCTGAAGGAGAAATGCTGCTTACTCCCTATTGGCTGCTGAAACATGACGCAACGTGTGCACACAAGGAAGTGAAACAACAAACGTTATTGAAGCTACCTCAGCAGAGGGTTAACATCACAGGTACGTTTAGTTTAATTTTTCTGACCTTCTTCTTCAACACGTACTGGCTCTGATACATTTTTCTGTGTACAACAGTTTACTGAACTGTGTCGACTATTTGTGTATACCCTTGTTTTATAGACACATACAGATATGGGGGACCTTCCTGTCAATCCGCTGGTTCTGATTGGTGTGGGCTCTAGCTTCGCCTTCTCTGGCCTTTTCTATCATCTGTACAAAGGGAAGAAAGAAGAGTTGAAGAAGCTAAAGGCAAGTGCATGATTACTGAAGTCATGCTTAAGTATTCAGACAGCTCTCGAGTAGTGTAATGATTTTAAAATGCTTATTTCAACCTGTTCTTTTTGCTTTTCATTTTAGGAAATACCCATATTCAAGCCAGATCAGCATTTGGTGAAAGTACTGAAAGCGTCTCCTCACAGGCGGCTTCAGTATGTTGCTGTAGAAGGTACAAACACTATTGACACTTTAGTGAATGCAGTTTTGAATAGGTTAAGACCAGTGGTGATAAAGTAACTAAGTACATTTACTCAAGTACTGTACTTATTTTTGAAGGATATGTTCTTGACTAAAGTATTTAAATGTTTTGCTACGTTGTACTTCTACTCCTCTACATTTATTTGATACGTTAAGTTACTTTACAGATTTAGATTAATAATGTGAAATATAATCAACTCTTAAATCAGACTTTAGTCACACCTGGAGTAAATTCACAACCTACCCTGCAGTATACACAGTCATTCAAACTAGCTGCACCTTTACCAGCTTTGATAACACTCTAATATGAAAAACACATCATATATATTATTCTTAAATGGACCAATCTGCATAATGAGTACTTTCACTTTTGGTACTTCAAGTATAATTTGATATTAATACTTCAGTACTTTTACTTGTGTAACATTTTGAATGCAGGATTTTTAGTTGTAACAGAGTATTCCTACACTCTGGTTTCTTCTACTTTTACCTAAGTACAAGATAGTACTTCTCCCACCACTGGTTAAGTCACAGATGTTTTACATTTTTCCTTTTATATGTGTTTTTAGGTCTGGTGCAGGCGGATGGGGAGTCTCTGGCAAGTCAGTTTGTCCCTCGTTGTTACGGTGTGATTCAGAAGATCGCAGTGGAGGAGCAGTGGAAATTCTGGAACTCCCTCACCAAGACATGGTACAATAGACAACAAAACAAACCCAAAACTGTCCCTCTATCTATTACTAGTCTGTTGATAACATTTTGATTACTTTGCCAGGAATTCGCGGACAATAAACAGAAAAGAAACCAACAACTCTGTGCCGTTCAGTCTGGTCAGCCCTGGGGCCTTCTTCGATGACTTGTATGTGAAGGTTCAGAACCCTCTGGAGGCCTCCGGGTGCTACCTGGACAGGGTGTACTTCAAAAAGAGTCGGGCCGAGAAGGGCTTGGCAGACATGGTGATGAATGGCATCCTCGGGGAGGAGCCAGTGGCCATGGAGGTCAGCGAGGAGCTGCTGCGGGTGGGGAGCACCCTGACTGGATATGGGGAGGTGGTGCTGGAGGGAGGGCAGGTGATGAGGCTGCAGGCCCCGCAGGACGGCCGCAAGTTCATCCTGGTGCCCACCGACCACCGGAGCTTCATGGACGGGCACGAGAAGTCCGCCAGTATGTGGAAGATGCTGTCGGCTGTTACTGGCATCACAGGGGCCGCTATTCTAACCAAGGTCATCTGTGGGTTAGTGGGGAACCAGGATGGAAAATCCAAGAAGGCCTGAAGACGATACTGTAGCTTTAACGGCTTTGTGACCGCTTTATAGCTCTTCAAAAACTGCCTCAGGTTTTTTGTTTAGATTCCACAGCAACTTCCTGATGCTAAGATAATGTATCACTTGTCAAAACTTCCTCAAGTATTTTATCTAGATTCCTTAGATCCATAATGATGCTAAGATTATTAGTCAGTGTCATCTTGTAAGTTTTGTTTTCCCATTAAAGTAGCAGTTACAGTGGCCTGTGAGGGTCAATTCACAACATTGGACAGATTTTGGCCACTTTATGATGTCATAACGATTTCTTGGCTTGTGTAACCATTGGTATTTGGAGCAAAACATTTCAGAGACATGTTCTGTATATATCTGAGACCTATAATATTTTGATGAAAATAATAGGGGACCTTTAAAGAAGGGATAGGTGATAGGACTATTTTATGTATAGCGTAAAAAACTTTATAAAAAATATTTTTTATAAAGTTTTTACGCTATACATAAAAATAGTCCTATATATAGCGTAAAAACTTTATAAAAAATATTTTTGATATCGTTTCAATCCCAATGTTGAAATCAGCAAACTAACTTTATTACGGCAAAATGTAGGCAATTTGGACGACGCTTAAAATTCTAATCGTGGCTCGAGATGCGCGGTTTGGCTAACATGTAGAGGACACAAATTAGCTCTTACTTCTGCTTGGCTACACAAAGTTTGATGCACACAAAAACCCTTCTCTAAAATGTTGACACATCCTCTGCAGGCTATTTGTTGTCAATAACTATAATGTGAGTTTTTCCTTTCTATATCTTACAACACACAGAGATACGCTTCCAATTTTTTGTCAATGTCATCTTGTAAGTTTTGTTTTCCCATTAAAGTAGCAGCTACAGGGGCCTGTGAGGGTCAATACACAACATTGGACAAAACATAGAAAGCACAGGAATTTATAAAACATTTACAAATTTGGAAAAAATACACTCAAAAATAAAGCTGAACAGAATCTTAGATGTTGAGACATTTCCCACATTGTGATTATAATGTGCTCAATGTATTTGTTAAAGTGTTTTGATCCAATGTTGTTCTGCTGTGACGGGCACTACTTTTCTTGAAACCACCATGAAAATATTTTTGATTTCTCCTGCAGTCACTGGGACATTTTGAATAGCTGAAAACTAATGACACCTCAGAGGAGGACACATTAAATGTGGCATATTTGAGTATTGTTAAACTATTGAATCAAGGGAACATTTTTGTAATTCAATTGTATTTTTATAATGTAAGATAAAATCTTTTTTTTGTGGAGTTGTGTGGCGTAATCAATCTTTTACTTTCACTTTTGATTTGCAAGAGTCTAACTGAGCCTGATTAAAATTGAATGTAAACAATGTTTTGGACTGAATCTATTTGCAGATATAATGTACTACCTCTTAGATAAGACCTGCCGTCTGTTTGTGGAAACAAAGATAACACATGATAAAGGGATGTGGTGATATCTTTAATAAAACCTTTATATTGAGTGAGACATTTTGTGTTCTTTTCCAAGCAGTCAGGGGTCTCTCTCTTCTTTAATTGGATATTGACGTTCACAGCACACCGCCCTTACCTGGCGTGGCACTATGTGATCAAATGTGTCCGTCTAAACTGTACAGAGAAGATCCTGCTGGATGTTAGTGACAGAAAGCTGCTGTTGCCGGGGGTAACACCAGCTGCCTGAATCCCTCTTTCTTCAAGTTTACAGTCATCTTTGTGCTCGTCCTTATTCCCCTTCCTCCTCTGAAGACTCCTCTGCCTCCTTCAACCACTGGATGAACTTCTGAAGCTGTTAGTGGGGGAACATACATCAGAATACAGTGACACAAGGCCCTTAGGCAAGTTGAACAATTAGAATGAATTTCAGAAAAAGTCCAAAAACGATGAAAGGATATGGAAAACAAATACACAAAGGAAGATACTCAAGTAATTTGTTAAACGTATACATTGCACAAATGTATTTACTCGTAGATAATGAGGGTTTCATTATTTGAATTATATTTTATATATTTCTTTTTTATTTGACATCATTGACAAGTAATTTCTATTAAAACAAAGAACATTTTAAATTAGGGGGAAGATTGTAGACCCAGAAAGTACTACACACTGAACATGTTAAAAGAGTGAACAAACTCGACTTTGTAAAACAAAATTCAGTTTACACAATTACTCCCTTTAGTATTTAGATATTGCATAATGGTTTGGTCTTCCATAAATAGTTTTAGAGGATAGTTTGTGTACAAGTCAATGTGGTTAAAAAGCAAATCAGATTGTTTTCCCTCTACATTGCCGTAACTTATTTTGAAAATGCATTTTATTCCTCTTGTAAATAATTTGACATAAAAACATGCAAAAGGTGCATCATAAATGTACAGGCCTTGCTATAAACATTTAAAAAGGAAAGAAAGAATAATATCTGTGCTTATTGAACTCCCTTTTACAAACACTACTTACACTTAAATGTAATCAATGTGTGATGTTGTGCTGGAAACATATTAGTGATTCCTACCCCCTGGTTCTTGCGCAGCTGCTTGCTCTGGTCGGTGATGTCCCCCTGGGAGAACCAACGCATTATCATGTCCTCCTCCAGGATCTCCAGCTGGTACATGTTCATCAGGACCTGGGGGGGGGCATTTTGCATACACAAGTCAGCTTTCACCCAGTCACACACACTCCTACAGAGGCAGAGGCTGTCACACTAGGTGCCACTTGCTCAGGGAAACTAGCACTCACACCAAGCCATCTGGAGCTATTTGCCGTTAAGTATCTTGCCCAAGGACACATCGACATGTTGAATACAGCGGCAGTAGATCCAACCAACCACCTTTGCCATTAAAGGATGAACAACTCCCTCCTGAGCCCCAGCGGCCCAGCAGAAGAGATTTACGAGTGTTTATGGAAGTGATGACTGACTCTGACCTTGAACATCGCAGCCCAGTGACTCTCCTGCTCCAGGAAGTGCTCCTCGAAAGCAGACAGACAGTCCAGGTGGTCCTGGGCTCTCTTCACATAGTTCTTAAACACCGGCGCCCATTTATTCAGCAACTGAGAAGCAGAAGAAGTGCAAGAATTAGTCAGATCCTTAACTTGGTAAAAGTAGAAATATTATGGTCTTAAAAAACACTCTAGTACAAGAAAAAATCCGTACGTGNAGCCCTTATAACACGTGTTATCACTCATATCATGTAAAATATCTGTAAATTATAGTTGTCTTTGTCACATTTTATTTGCCATTAGTAAATAAGTATGCACATTTACAGATATTTTACATGATATGAGTGATAACACGTGTTATAAGGGCTATTTTAGGGTAGGTGTGCCTTGAGATTTTTACTTGTCCTTTGGTGTGCCTTGGGCCCAAAAAGTTTGGGAACCACTGCTCTAGACTGAATTATAAGATGAACCACCACAATATTATATTGTACAACTTCAATGTGTCCACATTAAAAGATTAAAATGCTAGAAGAAATTATAAGAACAGGATAATATAATATTCTTTATAAATACTTTGACAGAGCTTTTCTGCATTTTTACCTACTTTAAGTATTCAGATGATAAAATTCCGTATTTATGTTACTGAAATTGTGCGGAATTAGTTATTTTACCTTTTTGTACTTGACTTACATTTTGATGCCAATACTTTTGGTCTTTTACTTCTTACGTCTTTTATAGTTCTACTTTTACTTAACAACAGGATCTGATCTCTGTTTGAATCTGGTATCTGGAGGACTTGTGGTGAATGTGTATTTTTTGCATCTATCCATCCATAGAATGCTCCATGCAGAGAAGGTTCCGTGTTCCGGTTCCATGATAACACAGAGGCCAGAGAACATTCTCTACCTCTAGAACTCTTTCACTCACAAACTGATCGTACTGAGAGAAGACACTCACATTTTACACTGTGTACGGACAACTTAGTTGTGTTTTTTTGGAAGTGATGGAGAACCAAAACATGTCCAACATCTTCCATCGATTTAGGAAGGGTTTACATGGGAATGGCGATTATGGCGGGGTGGGGTAAGTAACAGACTCTAACCTGTAGCCTTCAATCTGTTCAGACCAGAGGGTCTAAATGCATAAACCTCTCTGGTATCTTAGAAAAGTACTCTAATAATAGTCAGAAAGTGAGTCAAGCAACATTAGCTCAACTGTACTTTGTTGTATTTTATTTCCATAGCAAACTGGTATCCTTTGTGGACAGGAAAACTCTGATGAGTTCATGATCCTGAACAGAGGTCTCAGAGGTCTGCATTGACTCGCCAAGCAGAGAGGCTTTGCGCTGCCGAGAAAGAGCGACATGAGGCCGTCCTGAACCGAGTGAGAAGCTCTGTTCAGGGCGTCATTTTGCCCTTACCTCAAAAACCAGCTTTCCGCAGAAGCCCAGAATTCTCTCGGCGAGAGAGGATAAGCCCTCTTATAGATGTACCCTGCATGAACTGGGAGAACTTCAAGAAAACCCAGATCCTGAGTCCTGGAAGTTTAGATGAGAGGGACTCCTTTTGAGACAAGGTGCTCCTCAGCAGTCAGACGGCTGTAAAGGCATGTGAAGCATAAGGAGACAGGAGGCCAACTTCTTCCAGCTGTTCTCTGTTCAGCCTCAGCAGTGTGGACACTCACACACCCAGTGAGCTGAGAGCCATTCCTCTGATAGAGGACGCATTCACACCTGCTCCTCCTGCTGCGTCTGCAGTTCCACTTCCCAGGAGAAGAGTGTCTCGCCTGCCTGTTTTGTGTGCCAAACCCAGTGGAGCAGGTCAGTTTCTCACCAGACATACTTTTGAACGGGGACCTCAATCTTTTGTGGGGACCCCTGCTGTTATAGCTTGAGGTTTTTTAATTGTCTGATGGATGTTTATAATAAATCTTAAATACAACACCTTCATAAAAATGTCTCCTTGACTTAAAGTACAGTGGGAAAAAAAGTGACACTTATGCCGTTAATCTCAGCAGGCAAGGTACAAGTGAAAGTATGTACTTCCTCCGAACCTCGACCCCCTGCGGCTCCCAAAAAGACCCCTGCAGTGGCTCGAAAGAGGACCCCTGCAGCTGCAGCGGCTCTTACAAAGATCACTACAGCTGCCCCCAAAGTGAGCCCTGTGATGACGCCTCTGGACCCGACCCCTCCAACAGTTCCCAGAACCAAGAGGAGGGTATCTCAACTTGGGATGTTGCTGCAACCGGCTAAAGCCATAGCAGGTACGTTTATCCACACACATCCTGAACAGCTTTAGTACAAGCTCTGACCTTTATTCAGAGGGGTCTTGGAGGTTTTTGTGAACACTTGATTTTTCTCTTTGGATTCAAACAATTCCCTTCAGTTCCTTGTGTAACCTGACAATCTTTAACTCAGCACACAGCAGGTCACCCAAATATAAAAAACACGAAAGCTTGATCTTTAGACACAACACCATTTAACATATGATTAATAACATGTTCTAATTATAACTGATTTATCACTGGGTGAGTGCAGTGCTCTGACTGAGTAATCTGCTGTTAGCAGGAGAGAAGGCTGCCAGGGACTGCAGCCTCCAGACGGTAAATGATAAACAAGTTGAACAGGTTGAGCTGAGGTACGCCTCGAGAAAGACAAAGACTAGCTAGAACAGGTCCAAGGTCTTTGAGAGACCAACCTTGGTCGAAGACCTTCCCGTTCCTAAGGCAGACACGAACACTTCCTTATTCAATAAACAATTGTGTTTCAAGTCTATGTTTTTTAACTCTACACTTTTGTAGTTGTGGCGGTTTTGTTCCGTGTTTAAGTGTCTGCTCAGATACGTTTCAACGACGTGATTTAGGTATATTGACGTGTTGCCATGGAGTGCGAGCGCACGTCGTAGGCTGTTGTGGGCTAACAACCGAGAATCCTTAAGCCCATTCGAGACGAGGCGGGATTTGTGTGTCCGGTTCCGCGAGGGTCTATAGATCGCTGTCCTCACGTCCACGTCAACAACCGGTACCCGAGGGAAAAGACGCTGTGTTGCCACTGACCTCCTTCCCTGTTTATGGCCACTATCTCTGTTTGACAAAGAATGACAGGTAAGTAATCACTTATTGGAGGAAGACGGATTTTCGAGCTTTACGGTCGGGATGAATGAAGTCAGGACACACGGTGTCCTCACGAGTGGCAGGGCGTCGGTACGACGGGTCAAGAGACCCGGTTACGTGGGTCACGTGTCACACGGTGACGCGGCTTGTTTAAACGACCCGCAAGACGCGATCAAAAGGTCGTGTCTCGAGCCGGGCACCGAAGCTGAGGTTCCAGGTCAAACGGAATAAACCTCCAATGTATGTTCCGGAGCAGATTGCACCAGTAGGTGCGAGTGTCACGGGTGCGGACTAAATCCATACAATGAGTATTCATTTTTCTACTACAGAGTGTTGTTAGATCCGCTGTGAAAACCGGTACTTTGTTCCCACTCTGTTTCTTCTAGACTTGTTGTCTATGTTTCCCTGCACACATTTTTATGGCAGAAGTTAATTCGGGTCTGATGTGAGAGTACCGCAAACAGCACCTCTCGCCTTCAGGCACGCACGGTCTCGGACGGTTTATGCAAAGTTTCGAAGACGATGAGAAGAAAGGGACCTCAAGAATAGTACTGTTTTTACTACAGGTCAATTTTTTATGTATGGGTCGACGTGTGAGTGACGTTTGTGCAAATTTGACGTTTCAGGTGACCTTCTATTGTAAAAACATGCGAGAAGATTCTGCAGGCGTAGTTACATTCAGCTGTGTTTTGGATAAGGCTGTCCTTTTTTGTTACGGTAAGATAGACCTGTTTTCTTAGAAAATACCAAATGGTAGGCCACTCCGGCTGCCGTCGGAGAACTTCGTCCATTGTCCTTGTCTCGTGCCGTCTGTCAGCCTAACCAGNCTCGGCTCCTCTCGACTGCTGCTCGGGTCTGCTCGGTCAGCTTCCGGATGAGGAGGCATTCGTTCGACCAACTTACAGTAGATAACATTACAAACATTTTTAACAGGGGCCATAATAGTGTAAATAATGTTTGTTTTGGCAGTTACAACTGAATGTAATGTTTTCTACTTTTTTACATCTGGGAACTGGGAAGGCATTTGCCTTCATCAGATGGAAAGTTTCTTGAGCAACAACTTAAGTATTTCTTATAGCTATGCAGGGTATGCAAGAGAGCAAACACAAACAAGAACAAACAAACAAGTGAAATTAAGAATAAAATTGAAATTGTACAATATAATATTGTGGTGGTTCATCTTATAATTCAGTCTAGAGAATGTACCAGAAAGCATCTAAGACCTGCAAACATCTAAATTTCCCCCCAAACCCTTCGTGCCATTTCGTCCGCGCGCATTTTTCAGGGCAATCTCTATTGGGCTCAGGGCCATCTGTAAATTAGCTTAGATGGCCCACAGGGCCATCTAAGCTAATGTCATGCACTGTTACCGCTTGTAATTATGCCTTTACAAGCTTAAAAGTTGTATTTATCATCTCAATTTGGTGAAACAAGTATAATATTCCAAAAACCAAGACTTTGTTTATTTGAAATCAGATTAAAACAAAGTGTCACGGACTCTGCCGTGTTATCGATGATTACTACGCTTTTCATTCATAATTTCAGCGGGAGGGAGGGGCAGCGGCGCTGAGGAACAGCAGAGTGCGGGTTGACAGGTGTCTGTGTTGACACTCCCCTTATTGTGCGTCAGCAGAGACAGGCTACAAGTGTCTTAGGTTCAAGATAGATAACTAATGTCTGGGTTAGTGTTCATGACTTCATGTTTATGTCATCTTAATGGTTAATCTCAATGCACACACATTTTCCATGCTTTCCAATAGTTTAAAATAGTTGTATTCCTCTGTTAAATACCCTGTTCAATACAAACATGCCACTTGTAAAAATGAAATAACATTTCTGTGAACTGATATTTGTTTAGTGAGCTTATTAGAGGATGTTCCCTGAAAGATTGTACAATGTCAATGAAGAAGTCAGACTTAATATATTTGTTAATAATTACATACAATAGATGGAATTTGTGTGTGTGTGTGTGTGTTCCAAGTGAATCTGCGGCCCCCTGGTGGCCAGTACATAAATGATATGGCCCCCACCAC